AACAATAATATGGTGCATACATGTATAAAAAAAAAAATGCAAGAACAATAATATGGTGCATACATGTATAAAAAAAAAAATGCAAGAACAATTCTATATAATGCTTGCAATATGTGAAAAAAAAAAAAAAAAATAACAATTCGCTAACCCATAACATATAAAAAAAAGAAAACATAATCCTTATAATCCTTGCATTATATATAGAAAAAAGAAAAATCGTATAATTTATACATACATAAAGGAAAAAGAATAATGATAGAATCCACATATAATTGTGGGCAAGAAAAATAATAACATAATCCTGTCATATAAATAAAAAAGAGATATATCGCCATTTTGAAACGTTTTTACGCTAAGAGCCACAAGAAAGAAAAAAAAGAAGCAAAATGATATTCCCTGTGAAGCGTTCTATACTTATTTTTGTTTTGTGCTCCTGGCAATGTCTGCACCACGTATGATAAGAGTTACTACATTTTAAGAACTGTCGCATCCATTGTGAATGATGTTTATCCTATTTGCTGAGAATGGAGAATCCCTTTTCTGCTTTTTTTTAAGTGTTTTATATTAATGCTTGGGTACTGTATAATTCTTGAATGAATCCTTCCCTTTTTACATGTTAGGTGACTGAACTAGGTGCACCGTGGGATCATGTAACTGGTCAAAATTACAACTTATGGGTGAGGATTAGCAGATCATTGAACGGGTACGAACAGACTGATATAGAAACACTGAAGCAGAATAATATTATGCTAAGGGAAAAATTAATGGGTTTAATAAATGGAGAATACAAAGAATTAATGAACCGATGCAATGCTCTGATAAACAGCGAAAACGGAGGACTCGATGCGAAGAACGCATCATACCAGAACTTTCTAGAGAATCTTTCCGATGTAACAAAACCTAATGATAGCTCTAGCTCACGATCTAGAAACCGTAGTCCCCGCGACAGTTCGAAGAAGAAATCGAAAAGTACGATGGATCGTGGTAACGTGGACAAATCCAACGAGTCTTTAAACTTGAATAATTTTGATGAGGATCAAGGCAAGGAAAAGTTTGGTGGATCATCGATTTTTGGCAGCACGGAGAGTCTATTTGAAGAACGAGCCGATGATGGTGACGATATTAATCAGGAAGATAGAGGCAGAATTGGTGAATCATCAAAATATGGTAATAAGCATGGAAGATTCTCTATTAGAGCGAGAGGTGATATGGATGATGAAGTTCGCCATTACATAAATAACTTACAACAGCAGTATAAATTTTGCGACAGTCGCAGTGGAGGTTTTTTTAAGAACACCGCTTTGGGTAAAATGTTTAGAAGATTAAATTTTAAGCTTAAATTAAAGATGTTACGATACATAAGGAATAAGGCACAGAATGGAAACATAAAAGTAAAGCCCGGGAGACTTTTTAATGCATGGGTTCGTACTGTAATTGCGAATAACCGATGGATGCCGAGTGCTATGGTTCCTTTTTTTTATTATATATCAATAGTGTGTTCTGTTCCCTACATTGGCAATTCATTGGGAGCCATCTTGTACATAATTACAGGTATAGTAGGTGTAGGAATTATGGCCCTGATGGTGATATTCCATTTCTTCATTCGCAAGTGAGGATTAGGAGTGGTGTTTAAGATGTTGAAGTACCAAACATCCTCAAAAAAAGAACCACAGACATGGCATATTTGAGAACGTGTGAGGAATGAAATTATTTCACTTCTGATAGACAATTTCGATGTTATGGTATGATTTTGTCTATTTATTAGATCCACCTTGCTATTCTACTCCGTACTATTTGTACGATAGGATTTATTCATATTTGTAACATTTATCGTACAATTCTTTTGTGAATTATAATATCGTTTATATCTTTACAACATATAGTTTGCGCATATACAATGCTGTTTGTTTATGTAATTAGTTTTTAGTTGATATTTTGAGGGGGAAACGCACTTTTAAAAATGTGTGTACTCCTTTATTCTATATATATATATATGTGTATATGTGTATATGTGTACATATGTACATAAATATATAAATACATACATACATTTTTATATTTATATCTCATAATCGTTTACAACATACATATAGCATATATTATATTATAGTTACCATGGATACATTGTGCATCCAGTAGCTTTAACAAATTCAACAGTGTTGTTTTTTTTTGTACTTTGGACAATTTTCTGCCACATTCATAACTCTTTTCGATACTGTAATTATTTGCAGTGCAATACCAGCTCGCGCGACAACAGTACACGCTAATATACAAACAGGTGCAGAGGCGCCAATACACATTGTAGGAGCTACTGTAACGACAACACCGTCACCCGTTACGACAGCACTGCTCATGGCAGCACGAAGTTGTTCTTTTTACTGTTCAAAGCTTCTGTAACAAACTATCCGCATATAATCCCCTTATATGCATAAATTCCGTACACACTCAGCACTCATACCCGTCGCGCTATTGCTACCGATGGTCACTCATCGCCGCTACCATCGTGGCCGCCGCTGTGCTCATCGCTCAACCGAAGTGGGGCATCGACGTGGGGCAGTGAAGAAGATGCGCTGTGCTGTTCCCCCCCGCGTGTGCGTTGTTGTAGCCGTTGTGTTGTTGTGGCAGTTGCGTTGTTGTGGCGGCATCCATGTTCGGCGGTATGGGCCGTATCCGGCCGTATGGATAGTGGTCGTATATTCGTATTCGGCGTATTCGTGCTTTCTCCGATCGGTCTTACCTATCGGTCCGTGTTTTGCTGCCGATTTAGGGGATTGTGGTTTGCCTGATGTGTGGCGGTTTTCAGTGGCGGCTGAGGCCAGTACTGTCGCTGAGCTCTCTTTCTTTATCTCCTTTACCATTCTCCTTTTCTCCTGTTCCGACATATCTTTGCCTGTCTCCAGGAGTTCATGCACCTCTCTCGCACTACCATCGTCAAACATCCGTATAATATGTACCTTGGGCTCATCTTGCACATTCCCCTGCGGATTTTCCCTCCTACCAAAATTTCCCGCTGCACATATTTCTCCCCTCGTCCCACCCGCAATAGTCCCCGGCCAATTTGTACGTCTCCATTGCCTTATCCATGCTGCCATCGTTAGCCCAATGAGTTTACCCCCTATTCTTATGTTATTATAATTAAAATCTTCGCACATCTTGCTCCCGTCCTCCCATTGTAACATGTCTCTCCATATTTTCATGCTACTTGAAACAGTATCAATAATCTTAACATGATTACAATTGCGCCCAAAAAGTTCTATCAAAATGACATTCCCCAATATACACCTCACATAATCTTCAAAATCATTTCCCTTCTTTATTTTATTCCTCCTTTCCCATGCACCTCCTACATTGTCTATGCCGTCCATGAACAAAAATATATTCACTATGCTAAGGCAAATAATCTTTTGCATGCGTACTTTCATGCCGTTCCCTGGGAAACTGACGTCACACACTGGTGCGTTGTACACATTTTTTGTCCTTATGTTCCCGCTAAATTTCTTGAATATGCCTTCTATGTCATTCCATACAGTATCCTATAAGTATAATAATGCACACGTGCACACATGAAGTCCTCCATTCCTTCCTTCTGGGAAAATTAATTATATTCTGTGTATGTACTGCACATGTCTAGGACTATAATACTCTTTAGGTTCATATATTTAGGTGAGCCATATATTTTCCTACGTGGCTGCCAGGTAGCAAGTAACAACAGTATATGTATATACTCCGGCACCTCCTAACCCCCACAACTTACACTGAAACTGCCAGACCCAGTATCGGTGTCGTCCTGATCGGACCGTAGATGCCTCTTTATGACATACTCTGCCAACAAATGCGCAAATTGCTGTGTACTCATGTTGTAACTTCTATAGGATACAATTCTGATGTCTTCTTCAATATTAAATATAAATACCCGTCTTCTAACGACCCCTACTTATGGTGTTCACGGCCTTCCACTTACTCTTCCTGCTAGTGCTAGTATATACAAGCCCATATGTTCCTATGTATTCACGAGTGGCACATTATACTACTACTCTGTGCTGAATAACATACATTGCACATTAAGGAAAAAGTAGAAAAAGTACATAAAGAGCAAAATAAAAAAATAACAGTATTCTCCTATTAATATGATGCATGCGCAAGTATCCACACGCATACATTAATTAGTATACTACGTAAACGCAAAAAAGAAAAAATAAGTACACTACAAGCTCAAATAAAAAAAAACAGGCAAGGAAAAAATAGAAAAAAGTACTACTACTACTACCTACGCACGCAACACGCGTCATGAATACCCCCGCCCCCGCCCTTTCTACACCGGTCTCCACTAAACGCCTTCACACAATGTGTCTCTCTGTGCGTACACTAAACCCCTTGTACACTAAAACCGCAGTATGACAACATCAAATTCTTCTTCCGTCGTACACTCGGACAATCCGTGTATCCGGCCACGTTTGCTCGGAGAGACAATCTCTCGTGCTTCATACACGCGGTCGCGTTACGCGGACAATCTCCGTTTACCCGGCCGCGTTGGTCGACGCGTGTGCTCGGACAGGCACTCTCCTCCTTCTTACACTCGGACAATCGCCTTTATCCGGCCGCGTTGGTCGAATCGCTTCACTCGGAGACACAATCCTCCTCCTTCTTACGAGGACGCGGCAACGACGGCAGTATAATTGATGTTGTTGTTATACTGTGGTTTTGAGGTGTACTCACAGAGACAGTGTGTGTGAAGGCGTTTAGTGGACAACTGTGTACAAAGCGGGGCGGGGGGTGAATATTCATGACGTGTTGCGTGTGGACGGTAGTGTAGTAGTACTTTTTTCCCCCCTTTCTTTGACAGCACCAACACGGCGGCAGCCGCACGCACAAGCCTTGACGCGAGACACGTTGGCGCAGACGGCGTCACGGACAAGCGTTGACGCAGAATCGTTGACAGAGAAGCGTGCACGGAGCAGCGTTGACGGGAGAGGCGTTGACGGATAGACGGCGTGACGGAAGAGGCGTTGACGGAGACGGGGTGACGGAGAACGCGTTGACTGGAGAGGCGTTGACTGGAGAGGCGTTGACGGGAGAAACTTTGACGGAGACGGGGTGACTCGGAGAGGCGTTGACAGAGAGGCGTTGACGGGGACAAGCGTTGACGGCGACTGGGGTGACGGAGAAGCGTTGACGGAGAACGCCGTGACGGAGAATCGTACACGGAGACGGGGTGACGCGGACAGACGTTGACGGAGAAGGCGTTGACGGAGACGGTGTGACGGAGAAGGCGTTGACGCAGACAGCGTGACGGAGAACGGGGTGACGTACAGGCGTTGACGGAGAGAAGCGTTGACGGAGAAGCGTTGACGGAAGAGGCGTTGACGGGAGCGGCGTTGACGGAGAGGCGTTGACGGACGACGGGGTGTGTGTATATTTTTTTTTTTTTTGTTCTTGTTGTGGTTAATGAGCGGTGTGTAGTAGTAGTAGTAGTAGTAGTAGGTGTACTTTTTTTTTTAACAAGGGAATAAAAAGTGTTCAATATGAGTCACGACTATGAAAAATGGAAACGGGTGTTTGTAGCAGCATGGGGAGATTATGTAAAAGTATGGAGGTTACAGGGCGGACAGAATTATTGGGTAAGTACAATAGTACGCGCGGTTCAAGAGACAGAGGAATATTTCATTCTAAGGAAAAGATGTATACATTAGGAAGAGGGGCCTGTGAGTGTGCGTACACTGTTTATATGCATATCATAGCGTAAAGAACATCTTGTAGGAGAAGCTAAAGTAGACACAGCGTACATGATTTTGAGCAGAATATTAATTGATCTAGTGTAATTGACGAGAGAACAGGTGTGAGGAATATACATACATGTATGAATTGTTCCACCTGCAGCACAAGACATTCCAGGATGTTGATAGTATCTTCAATGAATTAACCGAGGTCATTGGCAAGAGGAATGGTTGGAACGCTGCTATATGTGGAGGCTTATATAATGCTTCCACGGATAAAGGATGCGCAATGAGGTGTCCAGGAATTGTAAGCCTTTTACTATACATGAGAGGGTATTATTATGCACCAGACAATTGGGAAAAGAACGATGTACATGCAAGGAGCGCTGAGGGCTTTAAGAAATATTTGCAGTGTATATTAGCAACAGAAGCTATATTACAGCTGTATGGCAAGAGTAATGAGCACCTCGAAGTAGTTCAGACAATTTCAGAAGTATTAATAAATGGGGATGACACCTGGAAGAACGCGCTTGATGATGAAATATGTAAAGGGCGCGTCTATGGAAAATTCATATTCGGATCAGGTATCCTCGGGGAAAGCATCAGGCACCGCCTGAAAGAATTGGAGAATGAGTGGAAAGGGAGAGGAGGAAGAAGTAGACGCAAAGAATCAGGGAAATGTACATGGAATGATACGGTGCAGAGGGAGGAAGAACAACCGATAAGTAGTGACACCTGTGGTACAGAATTCAAGCCGGGGCAGGTAGATAAGGATACTGCGGACATACTGCAATTAATTGCAGTAAATACCACCCTGAGGGCAAAGGCTTTTAAGAGAATAATGCAAAACGTGTTTAATTGGAAAGGAAAATGTGACATGGGGAAAAAAATAAGGAACAGGATACAGCAAGGCATAAAGGATGTTGGTGCAACTGTAAACACGGGGAAAGCACCAAAGAAAGAAACTTCCAACACACCGGCTCGGAACCCTCCCACGGGGCGACCACGCCCTGGAACAGGACCAGGAAGAACACCAGAGCGAGGGCCCACGCAGTCGAAACCGCCGCATGCATCACTACCGAAGAACCCGACCGCCGCCGACGACCAGCTCGGTGCCAAGGCGAAACCCACGCCACCTGCCAAACCAGTAGCGGCGACACCGGTGGCAACCAAGACGACATCGGGCAGTGGCATGACGACGACATCATCTGGTGGTGGTGGTGGTAAGACTGGTCAGGGTGCTGCCGGAGGAGTAAGCAAGGGCAAGGGGAAGACGACGACCAAACAAGAGGATTGTCCATGGAAGACCATATTGCAAGAGCACAGGAAGCAAGTATACGTCCTGCAGAATTATGATGTAAGTTAAAGTAAAGCGAGACGGGACCAGAAAAACACACAGAGAAAATAAGGTGCATAAACAGAATGTACTTATAGCATATATATGAATTTGGGAGTATACATGTATGCGGACGCATAGAATATACGTGAAATATGAACACGCGCATTCATGTGTTCTCTATGTACAAAACACAGAGGGAAGACCTGGAAACCATGAACACGGCGTTGCATAATTTTATTGATTACATGGAACAGAACCACGAGCTCGTGGATGCGTTTGGTGCAAACTGTTATAATGCAGGTTGGGAGGATATCTCCTCAGATGGGCATTTTTACATGGGCCAAACAGTAGCAGATGTCGTACGGTGCAAACTCATGACGGGTGCATTAATGTACGCCAACGGTGACAACACACAAGAGAAGAAGGCGCACGGGGGAAGTACAGATATGAGTGAACTGGAAACGCAGCTGCGATGCGAGCTAGCGAATGCATTGGGGTATATACTGGAAAAGAAGTATTGTGCACATCAAACAGGACTTAAAAGGGGTATAAAGTATGCCCGGCACACAGTGAAAGCAATGGGGGGGATTGGCGGCATACAGGAACATAACAACGGTCCTGTAATGAACGGGGATTGTACGGAATGTGGATATAAAGTTACACACGGTTCAGTGAGAGTAGTACATGGAGAACTGGTAAACTTGCTAATAGAGGCAGGAAAAATAATGGACAAGATAGGACAGTTGGAACACAGTACGGATTGTAGCGAAAAGTGGGAGGACTATAAGTCAAGGCAACAGAGCACTGGTGGCACTAAAGTAGTGAACACCACACAATTCCCTGAAGTAAAAAAAAAGGAAAAGGAGATAATAAAGATAACGAAGGAAGCAGTTGAAGAAGTTAAAAAAAAAATAGACGAAGAACTTGAAAAAAAGAAAGGTAAGGATACGACTCGCAAGCATACGGATCATACGACCGCCACCGACTACGAACCCATACGGATGGACGACCACCACAACAACGCGCACGCGGCCACAACAGCACAGCACCCGACGTCGTTGAGCCGACAATAGCGGCCACAAGAGCAAGGCACACGGCTTCCCTGCCCCACTTCGCTCAACGTACAATTGCCGAGTGCAGGGACGACGAAGTGTAGACGTGGTGTGTGGCGGCCACCACGGGAGCGGTAGCCGCAGCGGTAGCGGAGAGGATAAGTGTAGAGTGTACGCAATTTATGGATATCAGGGGCTTATATGTGGATACTTTGCTCCACAATATTTGAGAGGCGGATAACGAAGAGGCGGTGTATACGTTGTTCTCGTGACAAGTGCTGTCACTGTAGATGATGTCATAGCGGAGCATGGTGTTTCTACACTGGATACGGTCGTAACGAAGGATAGTGTTGTCGTGGAAATAATTATAACTTTTGAGACATTTCTGACGTTCATCACAAATTGTTTGAGTTAGCAGAAAAATAAAACAACATTTTATACATTATGAAAGTACTTACTATTACATATCGCGCTCATGGTCATCATTATATATTACATATGGGACACAAAATACTTATGCATTATACACATATAAAAGTGAAGTAGGACATACTCTTTTTTTTCTCTAAAGTTTGTTTGCTTTCTTTTAACACCCATGAACAACTCATTATATCAATAAACAGCACAACATACACACGAACAACTATGTATATTCGGAAAAGTGTACGAACAAAAATTATAATGTACAAAATGGAACTGCAACATGCACGTTACAAAACTGTGAATGCACTGTATCATACCAATAGTACCGAATATCATACAGAAAAATGTCTGTCTCATACATGTGTAGAATCATACCACAACATTGATGTTGTTTACCAAAAGTAGAATAATGACGGTATTTCCGATTCGGCGGAGACCGTTGGTTTCATAGGTGTCTACGGTTTTTCGGATATCCCCCCCTTTTTAGGTGCTTTCGATTTTTAGGATTCTCCTGCCTTTTTAGGTGCTTCCTGTTTGTCGGGCGTCTCCGGTTTCTTAGGTGTTTCCCCGTTCTTAGGTGCGTCCTGCTTCTCGGGTATCTCCGGTTTCTTAGGTACTTCCGGTTTGTCCGATTCTCCGTCCGTTTTAGGTGTTTCCTGCTTCTTGGGTGTCTCTGGTTTCTTATGTGTTTCGGGTTTCTCAGGTGCTTCCGGTGTCTTAGGTGCTTCAGGTTTCTCAGATACCTCTGGTTTCTTAGGTACATTTGGTTTCTTGGGTACTGCACGCTTCTGCTCTCCCTCTGATGTAATTTTGTCCTTTAGAGCTTTCTTTGGCACTTTTGCTTTTCCCCTTCGGTAGTAGAAACGAATTAGCATGATCAGGAGCATAAATGCTATGCTTCCTGCAACTGAACCAAGGGATGGGGCAGGCGTCGGATCAGTCAGGGATCCGAATTTGATAATGAGCACTGCAATGTAGAAGCCGAGAACGGCCACTGTAGCGGGGATCCACCATTTATTCCTAGATATAGTTCGCGCTAGTGTACTACAAAGTCCCCTGGGTATCTCGGGCGTGTTTTCAACTTGTTCCTTCTTTTCTGAAGCTACTAATAACCCCTCTGTCCCAACTTTGGCCTTCGGTTTTCCGGAATCTGCACCCGTCGCAGTTGCCTTCACTGGGCCTGCACTAGGACCACCGGGACCTTTATGTTGCTCTGGTGTTTGCTTATCCGTTGCACTCTTCACCGCATTGCCTCCATGCTTCTTTTCCTCATGTTCACTTTGTACATTATGCTGTGGTGACTGCGGTAACGATCCTTCTGATGCAACATTCGTTGTTGGTTTACCAGACTTTCCTGGCTTTTGTCCCGATGCGACTTTTTTATCTTGACCCTTACCAGGACTGAGGAGTAATGTATTATTTGGTTGTGGTGGTGCTTGCATATCCAATTCAACCGTTAGTAATCTACGCATCCTGATACCGAGAGTGTCATGTTCCTTGGCCCAATGTTTCCATGATGTGCCGCATTCATTCGCCTAACATATAACAAACAAAAGCGGGAAGGATGTATTTGAGGGCGTTATGCAATGCACAGGTATTTACATAAAATAAGGGCAGAAAGAAGCGTTTTCAATTGTTAGGAGCATGAATAACATCATAATGATAGATGTAAATGCCCATTCTACGCAAGCGTTAATTATTGTGTCGTACGTTTTCGGGATGTTGCCAGGAGTACAAAATGAAGCTGAATATGGAAAGTTTGAGAGCGAACATCATTCTGTTCTTTGCTTTTGGTTTTGTTTCAGAATAAAAGTAGATTCCTAAGAACTATATTTCTTTGTACTTATAAAGAAGGGGATTATATGATTATTTTTATATCTATCTGTGTTGACACAGCGTGGCTATTCTTGTTTTTGTGCTTGTATTCGATAATTTATATGATTTGTTCTTTATATATACATGTATGATTCCTTCTTATTTTTTTTTCCTTCCTTTTTTACGATGCGCAAATATGATAGGATTGTCTCTTTGCTTTTTTTTTCTTTCTTTTTTTTTTTTTTATGATGTACAGTATCATTTGTGTGACTACCTTTTTTTCCTATTTTTTCCCAAATAAT